ATTCCAAACACTCACAATGTACAAAACACATGCACTGAAAAAATTAGCAAGTACACAGAACTCGCCCAGGAAATCAGGCATCTGTGGAGGATGGATAGGGTGCTTATTGTACCTGTCATTCTCTCCTGTACAGGTGTGATACCACACACACTACACAAAAGCCTGGGAACATTACAATTGAGTAGAAATACATACATCACACTACAGAAGGCCACTATATTGAATACATGCCACATTGTTAAGAAATTCCTGAATACAGACACTGACACTGATACTGACACACATTTAATTTTAGTTTTGTTTTGGTTGCTATGCCTTGACTCTGGTCTGGCATAGTACACAGCAACCGGTGTCAACCGAGTATAACCTACCAAACACAACAATAATAATGAAATAATAATATTAATATTATACTCCAAAACCAGAATTAAAATTGGTATTTGTATTTTAATGGTCAAAAAATGATTTTAAACTAAAATTTATAATTTTTTTGTAAACTAATTTTAAATTGAATTTGTAATTTATTTGAAATTTCATATTTTATTTAATTTGTTTATTTAGCTCTGTATTATATATATTATACCCGAGAATTTACTTATATAATTCTCGGTATAATATATTATACCGAGAATTATACGAGTACTATACAAGAATTATACGAGTACATTTACTAGATGAAAATGTAAACGTTAGTAAAAGTACTATTTTGAGTTAATTTGTGCTGGTTTTAGGTATGTGTTTGTGTTTACAAAATATAATAATAATTTATTAAGCTAAATATACTACATGTTGGTGAATTGGTTTTATTAATTTTAAAATATAATTTAACTTACTTTAAATTACTTTGAAAGATATTACTTGATGTTGTTTTTATACTTAAAAAGCCAAGACTTTTGTTGATTGAATGAAGTTGAGAAAATGATGAAGATGGCTTAGGATGAGGAATGCCACTGTAAGATTCTAATATATGATTCTTTGTGTCTACAAGAGAGATTTTAGTTCTTTTTTCGTCTTTTGAAGTCATTTTTAGAAACTTCAGAAAATAATTTATCTGAAAATATATATTCAATAAAACCAATTTATATAAATAATAATGAAAATACAGTAATTGCAGTTGCTTAAATTATAAGAAAATAATTGACAAGAATGGGGAAACAATTAAATATTAATTTTCATAGTTTGTTGCTATGAATGAATTTTGTGATTTAATTGAGGAAGACATGTAAGGCGACATTTTTTCACTTTTAAAAATTCCTTTCTTTACTTTTTTTCCATTGAAAAAAAAACTGCCATCATTTATTTTATTTGAAATCTTAGCTGCTAACTATATTGATTTCATAAGTCCATTTATCAATGTCTCTCTGCATTACATCATCAATGAACTGAATTTGTAAAGAATTATTTAATGTTTTTAATGCTTCTATGCCACATACAGTAGATTCTGAAAAAATAGGAGTGAAAAATTATTTTCAAAAATTTTATTTTTAAAATTAGTATCAAAATATCTGACTACTGGAGATAATGGGTGGTAGCTATCTCAATCAAAAAATATATTTTAAAACATCAGTACCAGTATTTAAAGCTTTAAATATTCCAATATGTTGATTTATAGCTTATTATTCAAAAGTTTATTGTAATAAAATATTACAGTTGACCCCCTATAACACTGTTGATAATTCCGTCTTATATGAATTCCATGTTGTATGAGTCACTTAAATTTTACAAATACGTGTGCCTGTGTGTGGGTTGTGAACGGCTCACATATTTGTAAAATCTAAGTGACTTGTACAACATGGAATTCATATAAAATGGAATTATCAACAATGTTATAGGGGGAGTCAACTGTATTTTTCAATTCAAAATTATAATAAAAACTATAAGCATCATAAACTAAGTCAATTATTACCAGTATCAGATCCTTATTTGAGGAAAATATGTCTTTAATTAATACTGTCAGAAAACATTTTCAAATAATGTTGTATTTAATGAAAACAAATAAGGAAATTTTTTTGTTGCTAATTATGTACTCGGTGAATTTTGTTCAGTATGAACTACAGAATCCAATCATCCAAGCCTGATTAACCAAGGTTCAACATTATCTCAGAAAAACCTGTAAACGAATACATTACTTTTCTTATAATTTATAAAAACTTTGCTATGAATGCATCAAACACAAATACTGCTATAGTATTTGTGTTTGGTGCATTCATTTTCAATTTGTTTTTAACCTTAACAGTATAGAATGAGTGGCTGATTCTGAAGTGACTTTTTTAAACCCTTTCTGCTTTGGGGCACTAAGAAGGTCTTTTTTCCATGTTTGTCATGGAAAAAAGACCTTCTTAGGCTAGTCCACAATGAGGACAGCTGAGTAATGAGGGACAGAGCCTGACATATCTGGAACAGACCACCCATAAAAAGTTATGTGGGGTGACTGTGGAACATTACAACAAAGGAAATAACTGCTATAAAAACAAAAAGCTAAAAGGATTTTTTAAAGAAAATTTAAAGTGATAGATAACATGTTTTACAAAATGATCTGTTTCTGTTATCTTTTATCATTTAACTTCAATCCAAGATAAATTATTCATATTAAAGCGTGTAACTACAATAATTATATACACCCAAACTGGTAACAAACACAATACAACACCAAAATGTTCAATATACAACACAACAACAATGCACATTTTTATTCGTAAAACTACTGTACATATTAGCTGTGTAATAAATGATGTAAAAATTGCTCTTATGTATGATTCAATTCACTAAGGTATAAAAAAAAGAGGCTTAAAAGTAATACCATGAAAATCTTTTATATAAATAATTTTTAATTCAAAATAGCTATGGCTGCACATTTTAAACTTTTACTTATCTGTCCACATTACCACAGATAACTGACGTTCCACCATACTTAAATTTTTATTATTGACTTCAATAGTGCTATTCTCATTTAACGAAATCAGAGAAATCATTTAAATAAATCAGAGAAATAAAATACACACTTACCAGTAATACTTTTTATAATCCAGGATAAAAATATTTTTAGTCAAGGCAAATATTTTTGGAATTCAGCATTTCAGTCTCAGATCCTGACTAAAAATGTGTTCATCCTGGCTTCAAAAATAGTATGGTATTAAGTATTTGTTTTATTGTATTATTTGTTTTCAATTTATAGTTTTAAATATTGATTTTTTTATACAAAGTATTTTTTCATATAATTTAAAAAATATTAAAAGACACAGAAAATTTATTCTCTGATTTGCAATGATTGCTTTATAAATTGTTAAACTTTATGTCCTCCAATGATGATTCTGGAAAATAAACTATACAGAAATTTTAACACCGGAATAGATAAATTACCAAAATTCACTGCCTGTAACCAGTGTTCTTCTTTTCCAATACAGAGGACTTTGCAATTTCTGGAGGATTCTGGAAAATAATGATCATTTTTATATTTATACAATAATTTACCACATTATATCTCTAACTTTTATAATTTACCACATTTTATTTACTCTTTTTGAAATGAAAAATCACTAACATAAAAATATTTTTCAGAACTCTTAATGATATCAGAGAATATTCACAGTGTGAGGATCATTATTTTCCAGAATCCTCCAGAAATTGCAAAGTCCTCTGTATTGGAGAAGAAGAACACCGGTTACAGGCAGTGAATTTTGGTAATTTATCTATTCCGGTGTTAAAATTTCTGTATAGTTTATTTTCCAGAATCATCATTGGAGGACATAAAGTTTAACAATTTATAAAGCAATCATTGCAAATCAGAGAATAAATTTTCTGTGTCTTTTAATATTTTTTAAATTATATGAAAAAATACTTTGTATAAAAAAATCAATATTTAAAACTATAAAATGAAAACAAATAATACAATAGGAAATGAAGAAAAATTTCTCTCTTTTTCAAAACGTGATGAATTTAATTTACAAAGATAAACTGGATGACAAAACTCTGAAAACACTAAGTTTTGGTAATAATATAATTAAATCAGAAGAAAACAAAACTACAAAATAATATAAAGTTATAAATAAATATCCAAAAGATTATGCAAACAAAATATAAAATTATCTAATATGACTTCTGCTCGTAATTGCATTTGCTATGCAAAAAATAGTAATAATGGTACTTTTATATGCAGTAGAAAAACAATATTAATCTTCAGTTCTTGACAAGTAACTTTACATGCAATTTCTAGTTTATTGGAGCATAAACATTCTAAAAAATAATAATTATATAAAACTAGTGTTTTCATCCTAGCTGAGAAGGTCTGAAAAAACTAGGGATTTTTAAAAAATCCCTAGTTCTTTCAGGCCTTTTCAATAAATCAGAAACAGCTAACACAGTGAGTAGCTGTGGATGTGACATTATAAACAATTTTTTCATTTATAAATAAAGAGTAAATAACTAAGGCAATTATAAGATTTTCTAAGATAAATAGATTTATATCACTTAGAACTAGTAATCAAATGCCTAGTTACCAACTATCCACCTACTGAACTGAAACTTTGTCTTTGGAAGCAATTATCAGTCTGAGTTAGAAAATCTCCACTTTTTGAGATAACAGTTTTAATACATTATTTTCATAAACATGAATTTACAACCAATACTAAAAATTCCAAGTTTGCTTGTATGGCAGTTCTTTTAGAAATTGTTCATTCTCCATTAACATTTTCTATAAGTTAAACATTTGCTGTACATACACAAGAATTTCAATATAAGCTTTAAATTTCTAATTATGAAAATTTAAGTTTTCCTAAAAAATTGTCACATACAAAATTTTCTCAAAATGTGATAGATACAAGATCTCCCGCTCTTTGGTACAAGAAAGCCAATTTGAAAGTTTTTGTGAATCTGACACATGCCAAAATCACATTCTATACGATATAAGGAATTATTAATTGTTGTAATTTTTTTTATAAATAATTAACTTTTTATATATTGTAATACTTATTATATATATAGTATATATACTATTACTCTGCATTCTGACTTTTTTGCTACTAGTAATCTGTCTAGTAAGAAAAGCCAATATTATATACTTATTATTGTGATAACGTGAATGAAGATCAAATAAAGACTTAAACATGCCACAAATTTTGTATGCAATCTTTATAAAAATTGTCTTTTTATTTCTCAGTCTTTGCATTCCAAAACCAGCCTTTCCTAGCTATTAACTCGTCTATAATCTGAGTTTGACCAGTATGCAAATGTTGACATAAAGCCACTCAAATTAACACTCAAGCTTATTTTATGTAAGATATTTTTTTTTATCAGTTTTACAACTTCCTTGCAAGACATTTTCTAATTTCAATTTTACTTCCAGCAAAAAGCAATTCATAAAAATCCAGTTATTGTTATCAAATTAAAATACAGAATTCTATATTTACATCAGACAGTTTGGATATGACACGAAATAAATTAAAAAAATAAAAATAAAACGCAATTCTGCTTAACTGTAGGATACAAAATTTAGAATTACCTTAGAATTTGATTAATTAAAGATGACAATAAAAACATAATAGTTTCTTTTATTTAGCGAAACACTAACCTGTTAAATGAAAATATCAATTCTTATTGTCAGTAAACTACTCTAATGGTGAATTTCTAGTGGAGTCAAGTTAAAACGAAATCTCTATGTTTCAGTTCTGTTTCTGAGTTTCCGTTTTCAGATAATGCGGAGTCCAGACTTTACATCTATAAGTTACACCAGTATTAATTAAATGTGCTACTGTGTTGCTATTGGTGATGCAATAGTTGCATCACCAATAGCAACACCGATTCCATACACAATCTTATCTACTTCCATTAGACATAATATATAAGTTTATTTAAATATATATTAAGTAATTTCATGAAAACTTAAATATTTTATGTTTTGGTCTGTTTTCCACATAAATAATAAAAAGTGAGAAACGTTTTAATTGTTTAAAGATCTACATATCTCGCGTCCAAGAAACTCCTTGTATATTTGACTGCAGTACACGCCCCTGCCTTTTATGACGTCACACTCGGGGCGAAGTGGCGTTTATTCTTTTCCCAACTAGCTTTTCTCACTATAGTACTTTTCTGTCCCGTAATTGGTTAATAAGTTTATGACGTCAGGTAGTTAGAAGTGCATCGTGATCACGTGAAAACGGAAAATGCCGAACATTTTTTATACGTAAAAGTAATATTTTAGAATACTTTTAAAGCAGAAAAAAACGACAAAAAGTTTATCTTTCTTGTCATTGCACACTTCCTATGAATCACAGGAAGAGAGGGGTTACCCCTAAACTAACTTCAGTAGAGACTGAACGAATCGTTTACAAATCCGATTGGTCTCCTGGTTTCTTAGCTAGTGGAACTGAGTTGTACGCCACCTGTACGCAGACAAAGAAAACCGCTTCGGGAAAACAGGTGTTTTTGGGTCTGATACGTACGGAAACGCGGTGCTTGTTTTCTTCCTGTGGTAATGAACAACAACTTTCTGCCACACAAAACTTCAAAAAATAACTGTTGTGTTGTAGTGTTCAGTGGCGGCCCTAGTCGGGTTTTCAGGTGGTGCGAGATCTCATTGTGGCGCCCCCCCGTAGAGAATAAACTGATAACGTACATTTTTCACATTATTAATAACTCAGACCTCCGAAAGATTAGTATAGTAATACTATGGATGAGAAACGATAACGACGGTAAATGGAGAGTTAACTTGACCCTTGTTAATTCAGACGTATCGCAAGCTGTTAGCGTTTTTCCCCTCCCCTCCGTCGGTGGAATCTCTTAATTTTAGGTTATGGAGATATAGCACACATTTCAGGATCATGTTTTATATTCTCATAATCCAGCTCACTCTTGTGTAAAATCTATAGCATAGTACTAGTATGGATGAGGAACAATAACAGTGAAAAAAAACAATATTTCTTTCACAAGGCAATATTTATTTAATTTCTTTCATAAGGCAATATTCATAACAATATTTACTTAAATTGCTATGGCACAGACAACGCTCACATCACGCAAAAGACAAATTTACATCGTAATTTAATTTAAAATTGAAACAAAGTAAGACATAAAATAAAAAGCCTACATTGCTACCTTCCTCGCTTGCAAACGTTGATATTAATTCAAAATAATTTAATTCCTGGGCAATAATATTTTTGATAGATAAAATTGCTAGATCTGACAGTCTATCCTGACACATAGTTGAACATAAATAAGTTTTAATTTACTGAAACTTCGTTCTCTTTTAGCGACAGTTACAGGCATGGTCAGCAAAATTCGAAGTGCTGTCCACACATTCAGGAATATATCCTGCCAATCATTTTGTTTAATAAGTTGAAAAACTTTTATTGGTTCTGATGATTTAAGCTCTTTCAACAATGGATTCGGGTGTAAAAGTTCCTCAACCAATTTACAACCAGATAGGTCAAATTTTTCTCCATCGGTTAAATTTATTTCTAAATTTGCACAGGCTTTTTCCAATTTTGACTTTTTATGAATTGTTTTGATGTTGTATAAAAAGGCCCATGTATCATTAAATTTGGATAATCGAGTGACCAATGCATTCTCAATTGTATCGATCATAGGATAAAAGACGTTTATTTTAAACAATTCTTCATGATCTGTTGGTGTCTCACCTACGGCCTCGTATTTAAATAATCTCTTCTTTCTTCGTAATCGGATTGACTTAAAAATAAGATCTATCCCAGCCTGAAAAGCAATTTCCCTAGTTGTTATTACAGCAGACGAATAACGCGGGTACTCTTTTACAAATTCGCAGCAGTTCTTCAGCAATTGTGTAGCGTTTGGTAAATTTTACAATGTTTACTTAAAACAATATATCATACCAAGCCACTATTGTTACTATAAAATCAAATTACTCCATGATCTGAATTAGGGACAAGGCCTCTGATGCTGCATCTGGGTCATTCGTTTCTTCCTGAAGATCCAGAAGGGCGTCACGAACTGAAGAGTAGTGATAACGAACTGCAGCGAGGCTAGAAACTCTACTCTCCCAATGAGTTTCACAAACTTTTTTCAGCGATAGTCCTTCTATGTGCTTGAATATCACTTTTTCGGACATTTAATATAAAGTACAATAATTTCGCGACAATAGTACGTGTACAGAAACTTAGAACTAATTCTTACTCACTAACTTATAACCAAAGAGGAAAGAAGATTATATGAGAAAGTAGATAGAAAAAGGGTAAGATCAAAATACCCGGGATTCTCTTTTTTCGTGAACACTGGATGAGCACCACCTCGGATTCTGCATACACCAGACGTAATTTTTCTTCCCTTTCTTTATAATCGGGACTTCCGTCCAACGTTGACTCTGGAGTTTTCTATTTTTCTAACGTAACCAAAATGTCCTTCCCTCGGAATTATTCAGTCTCAAATAGCCCCTAGTCGTCTACTCGCGATCTGAAGCGCTCTTCTCTTCACGTCTTACTCTAATGAAGGTCCAGTCAAGATTAGCCCATTCTTTTTGTCTAATCAGCCCTCAGGCCTTAACTCTCCATTGTCTTATGTTCTTAGAACTGATGGTCCATTGTCTTCCGTTCTTGGGATTGGTGGCCCCACCCAAAGGGAAGAAAGGAAATGAAAAGAAAGTTCTAGAGAGCTGGAGAACAAAAGGGAATAAGGAAATAAATGTATAAATATTGTTTTCTTTAATCTTGGTATTTATTTTGGCGGGTAGGGTTAAGTAGTAATAAGGTGATCGGGTTTTATTTTTTCGCAGACGATCTATCGTTGCATTTTCGGCGCCCCCACTATGACGGTGCCCGGTGCGGTCGCACCGTTCGCACCGCCCCTGCCCGTATAACACGGTTCTTTTATAGCACAGGTTCACTCTAACACGGTTCGGGAATTTTGGGTAAAACTCTCGTACAACATGAAATGTAATAAAGGGTGTGTTCTTTTATACCTCCGCGAAACTCCGCACGAGCATTCTAATTGTTTTCGTGGTTACTTTGAATGCTCTTTCAACAAATAATCCATTTAATGGTTAAATATTACAATTGGGATCCTTTTTTTGCCTCTAAAAGCTCATTTTAGAATTATAGATTCCTCTATACCAGAGGTGGCCAACCTTTTTAGCAGGCGGGCCAAACTTTAGAAATAATATTTCCTGCCGGGCCACTCACTCACCTAATATTTTTTTTTGTTAATTAAAGTAAACAAGCAAGCGTGCTACAACTTCAACCACATCGTTGCTTTTCAGTAGCTGAGATCGTGGTCAAACACTTGCCTGGTTTAATGTAAAAAAACACAAAAAATAGGTATATTTATTTTTTTGAAGAAAATAAAACATAACCGAGAATCAAACATATTTATTAGACAATTTAAAAATATTTAAAAGTGAGACATATTTGTNTTTTTTTAATTTTTGGAACCTAACCCCTTTTTTCGCACTAGTTCTTTGTTTCGTATAACAGATTCGCATAACACGGAAATTTTTTGGAACGTAACTCCCGTGTTATATGGGGGTTACCTGTAGTTTATAGGTAAATCTTAATAGAAAAGTTCGAATTTTCTTTATGAAAAGTTACAATTAGATATCAAAGTAAAAATATCATTATGTTAATGATATCTTTTTATTTTATTATACTTCTTTATTGGGATTTAAATTGTATTGTTAAATAATTTTATTCTGGAATTATTGTTTTAATTATACTGTAGAAACATTTTTGCATTAGAGATTAGCATTGTTTGTACAATCTTAATTAAATTCAGTTAATATTTGTCATGAATTTGTAAAATATATTTTTCATATAATTGATATTGTTTTATTTCAATAGAATAAAAAGATACATATTAAATCTTCTAATACTATTTAACAATTATTAAGAAACACAAATAGCATAAAAATAAAAATGTTTAAACTCAGGATGGGAATATGTTAAAAAAATCACAAAATTGAAGATTAATACAAAAACATTTTGAAGTCTTCTGTGCCAATCAACCATTTTTATTTTTATTTTTATAACAGATAGATGGCTGTCCTTAGACTTAGCCCAAAAGGAGGGGTGGAAAAGGAAGGCAAGGGTTGGGGAGGATATGAAGAGTGGGAATGGAAGTGAGGATGGTAGTGGTAGGAAGGATAAGAGGAGTTAGGATACCGCTGATGACATGAATTGCCTTATTTTAACAATTAGAATACAAAAATACAAAATATATACAACAGAGTGCCATTCTGGCCGATGATCAAGTAAACAATGGTTAAACATTCGTTAACACTGAGTGCCATTTTGGCTTAATGTTGGTTGATAAGTCCTGTTGGGGTCTTGCACTTAGGGCTGGAAGAACGTCCATTATGTTGTCGTGTTGCATTGCCGAGTGTTGAAAACCTTACATTTAATTATGAAGTTGTGGAACATCTTAAACGTTTCTTTAGATTCACACAGAAAGTTTGGTCTAGGTGGCCAGTTTTGACCATGCAAGGCACAGTGTTGGTACAGAGGCTGCCGTACTCTATCATGGGTGGGGCAGTCCCACAGAATGTGGAATAAGTCACCAGTTGAGTCATTGTCGCACTCGCAGTTGTTGTTGTTACGCTTCTTGAATCTGTGGAGATAGCTTGGTATGTTGCCATGCCCTGTGAGGGTCTGTGTAAGCTCGTAGGTGGGGATGATGTAATTATATTGTTGACGTTTGTGGATGGAAGGGAGAAACTTGTAAGTAGTTCTTCCCGAGTTGGAGGATTCCCACTCCTCCTGCCTGTTATCAAGTATCCTCTCACTGATGTATTTATTAACATAGCTAGGAGGTATTCTACTGAAGGCATAGTTAGTGTTGAGGGTGGCTGCTCTTTTTGCCAGCTTATCTGCTTCCTCGTTGCCCCTGATTCCAGTGTGGCCAGGGACCCAGTAAAAGGTGATGTTCCTGCGTTTGTTAAGGTTATGGGCAAGATGATTCATTCTGGCTNGTGTTAGATCGAATGCAGTAAATGAAAAAGTATTCAACTTTGTACTGTATATGGCGGTGGCGAGCCGTCCATGGAAGTGGTGGAAGCGCCGCTTCCCTTGTATTTTCTGAAATATAAATACATATCGTGCGATTATTTTCATATTTTAACGTACTTCGAATTAATTAAAATTAATATTTTATTATAACCGCATTATGTATTTTATTACAAATTTCTATACATGTGAAAAACAATGATAAGATTACTATTGTATATTCGAATATAAATTTGTGTATGCATATTCCCAATGGAAGCGCTGTATTATCGAATACGGGATAGCTTCCACGGCAAAAATATTTGATTGGTGTAAAGCAGCAAGATTGCAGGCATTCGCACATGCGCTTTACAGAGCACCAATCTAGCGGTTTAGCTCATGGATGCTACACACCAAAATATCGTATAACGCTTCCAATGATTCTATCCAGAACCGACACAGTTTCCCTATCACCAAATGTCACCATACGCTACTGGTACAGTGCATGGCCATTGCCATTATAAAAACGAAGAAATTTAAATGCTGGTTAGCAAATTTACATTCTGGATAGCTATCAATATATAAAATAATTATAAAAACAATCCCATTTTATAATAGACTTAATGTAAAACTTATATCAGTTTCACACAAAAGAAGTGTCGATTTTGCGAGCTGATCTTTCTAATTATTTAACGTCGGGCAACATATTGTTTTCAATGTTTCGGATTATATTTAACAATAAGAATGAATTACTCTATTATGCTCAACATTAGAGTTTTAAATCACTGTTTCTGAATATTTCCACATAGATCTATTCTTAAAACAGAGATTTTTTAATTAAAAAGAATAAGGTTTACACGAAAGTGAAGTTTCTGTGGAAAAAATTGTCATTGAAATATTTCTTTGGCATATTAGATCATATGATTTTAAAATTTATGGCCTATGTCACAAAAGGCTATTTTTGCTTTCCCAGCTACTACAAGAGGGGAAGCATGGCGATCGGTCAAAAAAATGACCACCCAAGATTTTTACATTTTTGGGCTCAGGAGACCTTGAAAGAAAAAATAAATAAATATTTAAGATTTCGTGAAATTACTTAATATATATTTAAATAAAATTAAAATTTATGCACAGTAGAAGTAGATAAGATTGTATATGGAATCGTTGTTGTTATTGATGATGCAATAATAGTATAGCATACTTTACTGGGATGTAACTGATGTTGTATGCGTGTAAGCAAGCATTGGAGGAACTGTAGTGGCAATATACCAGAAAATGCAAGAAATTTCAATTGATTCAGACTGTGGTTCTGTAGAACTGTTAAAGTGCATTAATGCTTCTGACAGATATATTCACTTCGTCCAACTTACTGTAAAAAATTGTATATTTTTTAACTTTAAAATAAAATGTTTATGATAATTGGGTGATCGATTATAGACATTTTTGAAGTGTGTATGGATAATTTTGAAATACATTATTTTAACAAGAAAGATTTGTAGTTAAATGAAAATTATTTTGAAATTACAATTTATCAACGATTTATAATTAAAAATAAACTTATCATTCATTTCTTGTAATACAAATATAATTTATTGACAACATATTTCTTACAATTTGTCCGAAGAAACATTACAACAACTGAATTTATGGTAGATACTTTATAAAAGTATATAGTTATGTATACAGTATTTAAAAGTTGAAACTTATAAATTAAACACTAGTTTTCCCTATTAAAAAAGGAACATCGAAACTTATAGTAAACAAGAATCAATTTTCACAATGACTGTTGAACATATCAATAATAAATTTTAATAAAAACAACAATACTTATTGTTAGTTTATTTAAATACTATGAAGACAACACTATTTTCTAGTGTAAAAAAAGAAAGAAGACAATGAAATAGCAAATATTTATTTGCATCTTAAAATTAAAAATTTGGAAGATTCAAAAATAAATCTATCAATATTAAAAAGTTCAAATATATTCAGTCACTTATCAGTTCATATATTAAAATGACAAATTCAAAAACATTTCTGGACCTTTGGTCCCTGGAAATTTTCAATTAGCAATAGGAATTATTCAAAAATTAAAAGTAGAGGATTATTGAATTTATTCTTTTATTGTTAGTAATTTTTATTCATGTAACAGAAATTACTTTCATTTTTATCAACTATTTAATCTTCATTACATCTAATAAAAATATAGCAAATATGATATGTTATTTTTTGGAAAGTATTTCAACTTGTTGAGTACATAAAATTATATATTATTGAATTTAAACGATATAACATTTAATAATAAAGAGCCATATATATATATATTAAAAAATTCCATAGACTGATTACAGTAGATATAAAGATATGTAATTTTGCTAATTTTATGTACTTTTCATTCTAACTACTAAACAATATCACTATTCAGTATAAAGAAATAAGTTATTTTGACAATAAATGATTATTTATAGAAACAAAAGTAATATTAGAATTTATATTCATTTTATAATTACATTGAAATATATGTATATTTATTTATANTTTTTCTTATTTTCCCTTAAAACTTGAAAAGAAACATGCTATTAATAAAAATTAAAATTTCAATTCAATAAAAAAAATTATAACTTAAATGATTGTTAATCATATTACAAATTATCTATCTCATTACATTAAAATATTAATTTGATTAATATATTTTAAACACCTGATAATCATATAAACATATAAGATTAATTTGTATGCTTGCATTTATAAATAATTCAGAGAAAAGAAATATATGTATATATATATTTTTTAACTATTAACTGAAATTTAAAATATTACTGTTTGGCACAAGCTTTGTTTTAAATAATGGCCTATGCACATATATAAATATTAGTAGTACACAGGAACAATAAACTTAATTACAATAAAACTAATGTTCTTTACTACAAATGTAATATATAAGTGAGGACTCTTAAAATATTAATTTAAAGGAAAAAATAAATGAAAATTAATTGGAAACTTAAAGTTATGGTATTAGTAGTTTAGCATTACATGTATTGTTATAAAAAGTATTTTACATTGCTGTACAAATCCTATGATTAATTTTAAATGCCAGTTAATAAATTTGAAATAAATTTAATTCCGAATCAAAATTCCTAATAGTATTTAAAACTTTTAACACAAAAGAACTTATAATATGACAAATTAAATGCTTATAACATAAATCAACAAATAAATTACGTTTAAACCGTTTCCTAAAGGACGGACTGAAGAGGTTTATCTTACGAAAATAAGCATATACAATAGCTCAATTAAAAATTTTATCTAAATTCAATTTTTTTACAAATAAAACTATGAATGCTGCCTTGCCAAATGAAATATATTGCTTTGATGTTAACATTTTTCGAATTTTTGTTTAATTTTTATCAAGTTAGAATATTTAAGTACATAGATATTTAAAAAAAAATTAATTAAAATACTCTCTTTTTAGAATATAAATTACAATTTATATTCAAATTATCATCATCCTCCTCCTCCTCCTCCTAATCATCATCATCAAAAAAAAACTTCCAATATCATTATTATTTTACTTTGTCTTATAAAAAAAACTTTAGCAAACTTAAATCTGAAAATACAGATAAAGAAAGATTGATTTGGTGTTAATAAATAGTAATTAAAACTGACTTTATTAAATCAATTATAATGAAAAGGTTTGTTTTGTTAAATTATTATTAAATGCCAAAAATAAATCTCTCTTAAATAGGTTTTGTAAAATTTGCTGGAAAAAGTCCTTTTTCTCCAGATGCTTCTTTGTAACCCATTAACCAACCTTCTTCCTGTAAAAATGAAAAAAAAAATTCTGAATATTTTAAAATTTCATCATTCTTTGTTTATCATCATACTATAATCAATAAAAAATTTATTAAAATATAACAATATTTTAAAATTGAAAACCGATTTTAATATTTACCTGCTCTTCTGGATCATTATATTCAATAACAGCTATTATTTCCCCCGCATCAAAAGATAATTCATCAGCATCTTCTGCAGTGTATTTATAAGTTGTCCTTACCTAATGAAATTATATAAATTAATAAAAACTTGATTGTTTGCCTATTAATATCATAAATTTGCATAAGTAAACAATTAAATCATGCAAAATGGACACACTTGTTTTATGTTATTGTTTAGAAGAAAATAAAAATATATTTAATTTTGATGAATTTACCATAGCCTCAACATTTTTAGTAAATAATTCATTTATTTAAACATCCCTGACAAATATTTATATAGAAATTTTGCTAATTGATGTCATTCATTAAACATACAGTGCATATATATAAACATAATCTGGGAGTCTATACAAATGTGATACATAGTGCCATTTTACAGTGACTGAAAATCAAATGACCTCATTTCATTATAATTTTAGAAAACAAGTATATACAAACAAAAATAACTATTTTTAAATAAAGCAACAAAATTTATAATCATAATGCATTCGTGATAGAAAAATACATAAATACATTACAATTGTGTGGTTCTGGATAGGTCCAAACCGTCACAAAATTTGCAAATTTTCATTTGTTTTAAAAGGAAAGAAAAATGTTAGAAGCTAGACACGAATTTTGTTTATGTTAAAACATGACATGAAGTCATATATTGTAGAAAGAATGCAGTCTGAATATTGACCACCTCCAGTTGGGAGATCAAATTAACTTCGAGTTTGACCTCTCCCGCATCCAAGTCGGGATCCTGTTACACTTAGTAATGAGGAAATGACCACTTGGAAAGCATGGATGAAAGAGATCAACCAATCAGAATGATGGCTTGAAAAATAGAGATTGATATAATCCCCAATATTCAAGGACACAAAGCTTTTGCACTCTGTTACCACTCATGCTTGGTCAGTCAACATGTGTACAGTGTCAGCACATCAGAGAGAGAGTCTCTCCCCATTGTGTGAGTTGTGAACTCTGTGACACACTAAGAAAGAGCGAAACAGTTCTTGCTTCACCCAGTTTGTCTGATTCCAGCTGTCTTCTTTGTCATCAGCACGTGTACCTTCACCATCCAACGGATATCCTTCATAACCTGCCATGGAGCTGTAACCTCAGTATCATGATGACATCCTAGGGAAGAGCAACTGATTTTCTGCAGTGACACTCTCTCTCACCAGAAGGACACTCAGCAGATAAACTGTGCTCTTAGGACTGTAAATAGCAGGAAACTATGTAAGCATCCTTTCTGTACCAATAAAACAGGTTAAATGTTCAACATCTCTATTTTTAATAAATGCTCCTTGGAGAGGTGTAACAATATTAAACTCATTCATCCAATTCTGGAGACAATTCTCCATAATAGTTGAAAAAATCTTTCTAAATACAATAATTAAATAGTCTATAATTAGTTGACGTCTACTTATTCTCTTGTAAATCATCCTTAAAGCAATCTGTTTCAAGATAAAGGAAAAGAGCAACTAGACCAAAAGGAATTAAACATATCCAATATATTTAATAGTATTTCTGTAGACAGGTATTTTATCATTTCATTCCTTATGTTATCAAGACTGGGGGACCTTATCTAATTTTAATTTTCTGATTACAGTTTCCAATTCACTCAAAGTGATAGGATCATCCAAAAGAGGAACATTATTACCAAAGCTGTAAATCAATGTAAATTACTGTGTTTGGACTCTCTCAAATAATTTGACCAATCCGAGGGGAATATAGTATTTTCACATGATTTCTTAATTCGAAATTAACTCATTAATTAATGACCAAAAATGTCTAGTATTTTTAGTCTTCAAAAGTAGTTTATTTTAGCCAAAAACAAGTAAAACAGCAAAACCATATTTGGAACAAGACTATGTTTTGGAGACGGAATCACTTTGATGCTCAAGGCAGGTCTCGTTCTCATTCCCCTATCTTCTTTGATATCGCTGCTTATGGCATGATCATTCAAACTTCGCCAGCCACGACCACAAGATTGTTCATGATGCATCTTTGATGAAATTAACCTATCTAATTTCAAAATTTCTCTCCGTTGCATGTCAGCCCAGGTTCAATTTTTGTTGATGTGTAACAAAACGTTCCCGTTTTTGAAAAAATAATTGTTGTTATTGTATCATCTGAAATTATTTTTTTTTTATTTTGTACAAACAATATACAGTTTAACCTGATTATAATGTCATCGAATGTAACAACGACCCTAATATAACGTCAAATTTTTATTGGTCCTACGATTTTACTATACTAGGTAATGTTAAAAAAAAACCCACTTGTAATGACATAAAACCGTTTTAACGTCATATTTGAAGCACTCCCAAATTTACAAAATTAGATTACAAATTTTATTTAACATAGAAGAAACTATGTGTTCAGTCCTAAAGTCAGAGTTCACTTCTTAGAATGACTGTGGGTGGTACTCTCCCCTACCCAACTTTGGTGGGGTGAGGTGGCTGTTTTGCCTGTTTGTAGAAGAGGGTCGCCATTTTGTATTTTATTTTGGCTCGATTCTCAGTCCGCTGACTACCTATGAGTCTGGACTTTTTTATGCGCAAATGATTTGGGCACCTAATACTCTGTGCCAAATATCAACTCTTGACATGTACTCCTTCATACCTCTATGCTGGTAAGAACATTGGGCAGTATGATTTTATAAACAAGACATAGTCTATAAACAAGACATAGTCTTGTCAATAACTTTTTCTTCACCTTACATATAAATTTATAGCATTTATTTAATTTGCAGTATTCATCCAATAGATTTCTAGTTTTATTTTTATGAAACATTTGTAATACTCTGTTCTTTGTTTTCTTTAAATTTAGACACTGAGGATCAAATCATTGTTTCTCAAATGATAATAAAATATTTTTCTTAACCATTCCACATCGTAAAGCCAAAGTTAACAAAGTCTTTAATAGTTCATCGTAATAACTCTGCGCATCCAACAGAAAGGTCCTTTTAACCAAAATATATCAGAGATAAATAATTATTTAATCTTTCTTGTTTCTATATACCATGTTTCCCGAAAATAAGACAGTGTCTTATATTAATTTTTGCTCTCAAAGATGCACTAGGTCTTATTTTCAGGGGATGTCTTATTTTTCCATGAAGAAAAATTCACATTTATTGTTGAATTTGTTGAACAAAAAAATTCCCAAGTCTAACTTAAACAAGAGTGACGTATATTTGGTCGTGTCGAACTGAACTTACGAAGTTCCCATGCTGGAGTGGACTTCCCACTCTCGCTTCAACTTAACCTTTTCATAGCGTCAACATCGGGCTCGATGACCAATTAGTGCTTACTGAACCGTAGCACTACGCAAATGTGATGGGGCGTGATTCCCGGCCGACCAATTAGCGATCACCAGCCGTAACGTTATGCAAATCTGTGATTCCCAAGCCATAGTCTTATGCAAATCATGCCATGTGGCATAATTGTCTGCTGACCAATCAGTGGCTGTACTTTCAAAAAGCCAACGGCCACTTACAACCATCTGTCGATGACCATTATGACTAAAAAAACTTTGCTAGGTCTTACTTTCAGGGGGAGGTCTTATATTTCACAATTCAGCAAAACCTGTGCTAGGTCTTATTTTCGGGGAAACATGGTATAATGAATTTTTGGAAGTTTTCAAGTCAATATGCTATCTGTCAGAAATCCAAATAATACTGAAATTGAAAAATGAACAGAATTAAAAATATCAAGAACTCTAAAATCTAATAATTTCACATTTACTGTCATTAAATCTACAACAGATAGACCAGTCAACTGTCGAGAGAAAAGTAAATTTAGCTGGATAGTCTGATACACATTGACCATTTAAAATATATAATCCATATGACTTAATTAATTGTAAAAATCCTTTTCATCTTTGGTTTAATATTAAATCATTAGATTTTCAGAAATTTAAAACATTAGTAGTAATCCCAGCATAAAAATTATCCAGTTCCTTGACTATTCTAGCATTCATGTCTCCTAAAGTAACTATCATCCTCAAAAAAATTCCTCAACATATCTTCCATTTTAGCTAACAGTACATCATAAAGATATATTCTCAAATAAACAAGAACAATTATCAAACTATAACTAAATGATCAAAAATTTTTCCTACAATTAAATCTAATTATTATGAGGGTTTGTCAGAGTTAAACAACACTCCTGAAGAACTTAGTTTTTGGAAAACTGCAAGAATGAGACCACCATACAGACGCAGGGACCAGTTGGTTTTTTAGCAAATTGTTCATATAAAAACAAATCTGGGTTCAACAAAGAAAAAACTCATTTATAAGAGTTAGTTAACCAAGTCTCAGTGAAAGCAATTAAATCAAACTTTTGCAATAAATATGCAAACTCTTGGTCATTCACTGTCAAGTCCAATGTTCCTTAACAATTCAAGACAATATTCTCATTACTAAAGTTTTATCCCTCTCTTTAGCAATTGTTCCAATTAGCCCTTTTGGCTGGATTTCTCTAAAAAAGAATTAATCTTCTGTAGTTCATTTGTTTCTAGATTGAAAGTGAATTTGTCACCATCACCTGTCAAGCAATCAGCTTTCAGAAATTCTTTTTTATTCAGAGATTTAGCTTCTGCAAAAAAAAGGCAACCATTTTCTACACCTAAGTCTTGATCTATATGACAAATCATCAAAGACTATTGTGCGAGTAGGACAGCAACTCCTGAATTTTCTTTAAATTTTGAAAAAGAAGTTATTTGTCAGCTTGATTATAGAGCTCAAACAATACAAGTTGAGTTCCTGATATTCAATAACTGTTAATAAAAGGAATAGACATTATGTCTTTTATACAACTCAATAAAGCCATTAGCATTATTAACTAATTTTACATCATTACCACTCAAACCAGAAACGACAATGCTATTTTTCTTCAAATCATTGTATACAGTCTATATAATAATTCTGAAGAGAAAATTTATCCATACATACAGTTTTAAAAGTTGAAAGTTTGGTAATTTCGCCCTCCAGGCAAGTTAGATGTTCATCATGCTCCTTATTTAAATTAGACAATCAGTGAAATTTTGACAACAATTCTACCAGTTTTGATAG